CCTTCCTTCCTTCCTTCCTTCCTTCCTTCCTTCCTTCCTTCCTTTCTTTCTTTCTTTCTCTGTTCAGAACTTATTATTATAGTTTTTGCTTTGTCTAGAACTATTTCTGTCTGTTGATATGTTTACTTCCACTAATTGATTCTTCTCTCTCTATCCTAAATCAGATAGCCCCTTTTTTCTCAATGAAAAATGTTCTCTACCTCTGAAGTATTTCACTTTTTATATTATAGAAGCTACTCAGGGAAAAATAACTAAGTTCTTTAAAATAACTAAGTTCTTTAAAATCTGCCTTATATTCAAATATATTCAAAGCAGAAGGGACCAGTGTACACTGAACATTATTATACTTCTAGATACTACTGCTTTGGAACAACTGCTTTGCTTCCAGATCCTAAAATATTTATTTTTCAATTTATCAGAAATATACATTACAACATTTGCCTTATTTAAATGAAAACCATTAAATATTTCTCTGCAGAGCAGTGAGTTTCTATATTGACATAATTTGAATATATAGAGGCAAGTGGTTCTTTTACTTATGTAAAGGCATACCTGCAAGATTTTGGATTTGTCATTTTATCATTTTCTGCCATTAGGCAAGTCATTTAATGTATCTGAACTTTAGTTGCCTGGCATGTAGGAGTTTTGCATGATATTTTGCTATGATTAGTAAATTAACCAGAATGTGAAGGAATTTATGGCACAATCAGATTTTTTTTCCCTTTTCAGATGTTGTTATTCATGAGGATCAATGGATTGGTGAGATAATACTCCAATCAACATTCACAAGTCAGTTATTAAATCTTGGGAATTATTCATCTGTACAGCCAGAAGAATGTAAGACGTATTTTAAACATAGTAATTTCTTAGTATTTCAAGTGCAAACAGTCCCCAACTTATGATGCTTTACCTTACAATTTTTTTAAAACTTTATGATGGTACAAAAGTAATACACGTACACTTTGGATTTTGAATTTTGATCTTTTCCCTGGCTAGTGATGTGCACTATGATACTCTCTTGAGAAGCCTGGCAGTGCCAATGAGCTGCAGCTCCCAATCTACCCTATCTGATCAGGAGGGGAAACAACTGAGACTGTAGTGTGTGTTGTATTGATCAGCTGGAATATGTAATAGGTTAACTGTTAATACATTTTCAACTTACAATATTTTCAACTTGAGGAGCATTTCTGTATAAACATACTAGGAAAGATTAGAGTTAAAATGGTTGTTTTCTAAACAGTTATTTTTGTTAGTAAGAATAAAAATGGAATTTAAAAAATGAACTTGAAATTTTAAATCAAAATTATTTTAAAAATCATTGTGGTTTATGTTTCACCTTCTTTTCTTTTTTTAAATATATTTTTAGTTGTAGATAGACACAATACCTTTATTTTATTGATTTATTTTTATACAGTGCTGAGGATTGAACCCAGTGCCTCACACATATTAGGCAAGTTCTCTACCACTGAGCCACAACCACAGCCCTTACCTTCTTATTCTTACTATGGTGGTAGTTTTTCATCATCTAGGAAGTCATAGACCTCTTTGAGAAGCTGTGGACCCTTTCTGTAGAAAAATGGACTTACATAAGTAGACAAAAAAAATTGTTTATAAATCCTAAGCCACTCCATAGACTTCTGAAGTTCTTCTATGCAATTTCTGAGTGTTTGATTAAGAATGCTTGAGTCAGTCAGCTGTGGCTAGAATCCTTATTTTCAATCTACCATTGCTAGAAAAAACTATTTTCCTTCTCTGATAATTGTTTTCTCCTCTTTAAAATAAGTTGTTGAATAAAGAAAATTGCAGCTATCTTTTTCTCCAGGAAATAAGAAAAGAATGTAGGGAAACAATATTTAGAATCTAAGAGGCCAGGATTTGAATCCTGACCCTAGTACTTCCAAAGTCTTTTCTTTATCCAAGATATTTAATCCCGCTACCCTGTCTCCTCAGTTGTGAAGTAGAAATAATATACACATACCTAATAGGGTTTTTGTGAAGATTGAAAGAAAAAAATACAAGGTATCAAAACTGCATATAATAACAGTATAGTAAAATCAATGGGAGAAATAGTAAGTTAGCAAAATATAGTAGATAGAATACTGTAATAGTGTAATAGAAAAATAGCTAGGAAAATCTGATTACACCAGAGTTTAACTAGAATAATAGGAAGTTATGGAGGGTAGAGCGTAGAATTCCAGCAATTAATTTGGCAATTAGAATACTGATACCACTGTGTTGAGAAAAGGTAAGGTTTCACTGTATTCTTGGGAGTTCTTCAGCAAAAAATTAATACTGATACATTTTCATAAAATAACTAAATCAGTTCTTTATGCAATATGTATGTATTATGTATTGATATTGTTTCAAGCACTATGCTTAACAGTACATGAAAGATACAGCGGTGCCTGCCCTCAGGTAGCTTACATTCCTCTGTGGAAGGTATACTAAAATAAACAGAAGAGAATCATATATATATATATATATATATATAAAGTATTTGCAAATAATAGAATGTTGTGGAGAAAACTGATAAAGGACTAAGATATAGAAGAATATCATGGTTGTAGTTGGGAAGTGTTGCTCATGGAGTGGAATTTCAGAGGGTTAGGGAATTACACAATACTTAGAGTGGAGATAAAGAGAAATTGATAGATTGAAGATAAATTTGTAAAGAGAGTTAACCAGATGTTATGGATTTGGGGATGAGGGAAGAAAAACAATCTACTAATAAGAGACTTTTGGTTTAAGTCACTTGGTGGCTTGTATTGGCAAAGTATGAAATACAGGTATATGAGTAAAATGGAAGGTTCTAATTCAGGCATTTAAAATGGAGATATCTTTGGAGCATCCAAGTAGAAGTATCACATAGGAACTGAATACAAAGTCCAAGACTCAGAGGTTTAAAATTAGGATACAAATTTAAATTATTGGCATATAGATATTCATTTATTTCATTTAAAAACTTTTAATCTTAAAATATTATTTGTGAAATTATGGACTCATAGGGGACTACAGAAATAATAAATATCCCATGAATGCTTCACTCAACTTCTCCCAATGGTGACATATAACTTTAGTATAATATGAACACCAGGAAATCAACAGTGTAGTACTGTTGAACTAGACTACAGACCTTATTAGTTTTTTTTGGCATCGCTTGTGTGTGTGTGTGTGTGTGTGTGTGTGTGTAGTTCTTTGCAGTTTGAGTCTATGTATAAATTTGTGTTAAAACCACCATAATCCAAGTTACCAAATGGATTTATCACCACAAAGGAACTCCCTCATGCCATCTTTTATAGTTGCAACTGCCCCCCTTCTTTTTTTTTTTTTTTTTTTTAATTAACATACCTTGCTCCCTGTGTTAGTCAATTTTCTGCTACCATGATAAAATACCTGAGAAAATTTTAGTAAAAGGAGAAAAGGTTTATTGCTTTGCTAGCAAGGGAGAAACACCGGGTCTCCTGTTCCAGAGGCTGTGATTTTTCCCATTAGCAGGAACAAGGCTTTTAAAGAGGTGAATCAAAGGCTACATTCCACATGTTCTCTGTTGGAATTGTAATTCATTTGGTAATTTGGAAGACAGGCATTTCTGAGATCTTCTGGTACCATCCCCAAAGTCTGGATTATTTCCTTCCTATGGTAGGTGTGTACTCAAGGATAGATAAATCTGCCTAAAATGGAGAAGAACTGTAATCCTGTTTCTATTGAGATCAAGGAGGGAAAGAGATTAGGGAGGAGCAGGGAGAGAAGAAGAGAAAGAAACATGTTCATGCTAAAAATAAGTTGCACTGGCAGAACAACAAGGGCCATATTCAAAGCATAAAGTGGACCACTATTCCAATTCCTCACTGTCGATTTCTTTTTTTTTTTTTAAAGAGAGAGTGAGAGAGGAGAGAGAGAGAGAGAGAATTTTTAATATTTATTTTTTAGTTCTCAGCGGACACAACATCTTTGTTGGTATGTGGTGCTGAGGATCGAACCCGGGCCGCACGCATGCCAGGCGAGCGCACTACCGCTTGAGCCACATCCCCAGCCCGCTCACTGTCGATTTCTATATTCTATTCCTATGGAAAAATAACCCTCCCCCTTTTAACTCTATTCTCACCAATTTGTCTTCCATCTCAGTGGTTTTGTCATTTTAGAATGTTGTATACATGGAATCATGTTGCATGTAATCTTTTGAGACTGGCATTTCTCACTAAATATAATGCCCTGAGATCTGTACCATGTTGTTGCATATATCTCTAGTTACTTCTTTTTTAAAAAAAACATTTTCGGTTGTAGATGGGCACAATACCTTTATTTATTTATTTTTCATGTGCTTCATACATGCTAGGTAAGTGCTTCAGCACTGAGCTAAAACCCCAGCCTCTAGTTACTTCTTTTTTAGTGTTGAATAGTATTCCATTATGTGGATCTACCAGCATTTGCTTAATCTGCTGAAGAACATTTGAGTTGTTTCCCAATGTGGGATATTAAGAATAAGCAAATATGAAATCTGAGTACAGGTTTTTCCTGTGTATATAAAATTTTACATCTCTGGCATAAATGTCAAAGGGTATAGTTGCTGGGTTGTATTGCAAGTATATATTTAGTTTTATAAGAAACCACCAAACTCTTCCACTGTGAATGTTCCATTTAAAATTCTTATCATGGCCAGAGGATGTAGCTCAGTGGTAGAGCACTTGTCTAACATGTGCAAGGCCCTGGGTTCAACTTAAGTATTGCAAAAATAAATAAGTAAATGAATAAATAAGCCAGGTGTGATGGCATGTACCTATAGGTCCAGCTTCAGGAAATCAAGGCAGGAAAATTGCTAGTTGGAGGCTAGCCTCCACAATGTAGTAAAATCCCATCTCAAAAATGAATTACATAAGCAAATAAAAATTTAAAAATAAAAATAAAATTTTGCCAGTAATATATCTTCCAGTTTCTCTACATCCTAGTCAGTATTTGGTGTTATCCTATTTTTTATTTTAGCTATTCTGGTAGATGTGCAGTAATATCTCATCATAGGATTAGTTTGTATTTCCTTGGTATTATAAGACAGATCTAATGTATAAACTATAATTAAGGAGATTAAAAGTCTAAACAACATAGTGCAAAGATTAGATCATTTAGATATAAATCAAACTCTACACTAGTAATACATATTCTTTTGTATCCCCAATACATTCAGAAAAATTGATTCTATACTTTAGCTCACAAAGAAAATACTAGTGACTTCCATAAAGTATAACAAAAGTGTTAAAAGGAGTATAACAAAAATGCCTATCTAAGTGCTATAAAACTAGATCTTATTAATAAAACAAGATTGTTTATTTGCAAGTTTTAAAACTTTTTAAACAAATTCTGGATGAAAGGGTAATACAAACTGATACAACATTTAAAAAATAACAATGAAAACATGATATATTAGAATCTATGAAATACATTTAAAGCAGATATAAGAGAAAAATTTGTTAGGTAAACACTTTTAAGTAAAAATGAAAGAATAAAAATAGTTAAATCCTAAGCTCAGAAAACTTGCCAAAGAACAACCAAGTCATTCAAAGAAACCATAAGAAATAAAATGGTGAGGATAAAAGCAGGAATTTATGAGAATGAGAATTGATAAACAATAAATGTAATTAATAAATTAGAATTCTACTTTAAAAATAACAGATAAACTAACTAGCTTATGTGATTAAGAAAAGAGAGGGCTGGGACTCTAGCTCAGTTGGTAAGTACTTACCTTGCAAATACAAGGCCCTGAGTTCAATCCCTAGCACCACAAAAAAATAAAAATAACGTGCTCTTTCCAGCTGGGGTTGTGGCTCAGTGGTAAAGCACTTGCCTAGCATGTGTGAGGCACTGGGTTTGATCCCTGGCACCACATAAAAATAAACAAATAAAATAAAGGTATTGTATTCATTATTGTATCCATCTACAACTAAAAATATATTTTAAAAAGGTCTGGCTTTAAACTTGAGATCCTCCTGCCCCAGCCTCCCAAGATGCTGGGATTACAAGTGGGGGCCACCATACCTGGCCTTGAAGAAGGCTTTAACAAAATTCAATACCCTTTTAAGAAATCACTCCAGGAAACAGGTATTAAAGGATACTTTCTCCTTCAGAATCAATAAGTATCAATGTAACATTTTAATACAATACCACATTAATAAATTAGATATACTGTTTCAAATTCCAATGTCTTATTTAAAGAAAAAATGCTGGAGGGCTGGATGTGGTGGCACATGCCTGTAATCCCCAGATTTGGGAGGCTGAGGCAGTAGGAGTGCAAGTGCAAGCTCAAGGCCAGCCTCAACAATTTAGTGAGCTCCTTAGCAATTTATTTAAATAAGTTGCACTGGCAACTTATTTAAATAATTGGGGATATATTACTCAGTGGTAAAGTTCCCCCACATTCAATCTTCAGTACCAGTAAACAAACAGATAAATAAATACTAGAGGAATTTTTGCTAACATTAGGAACTAGATAAAGATATTCACTATCTGTGCAACTGTGCATTTTATACTAAAGTTATTATTCAGAGCAGTTAGACAAGATGAGGCATATGAATGGGTGAAGAAGAATGCACAATATCTCTATTTATAAATGCTTTGATAACCTAACTAGAAAACTCTAGGGAATAAAAGAAAAATTAATTCAAACAGTAAAAGAATTCAATGATACAACAGGACACAAATTAATGTTGAAAAGATCAGTGTGTTTAAAACACTATTGGCAGAATGATAGTGAAAAACTCATTTACAATAGTAATCAAGAAGATATTTCAGAATAAATTTAACAAGTAATGTACCAAACCTATATGAGGAAGAATTTTAGACACTCCAAAAAGAAATGAATACATGGGTAAATGGAAAGATCTTTCTTTTCTTGGGTAGGATGATTCAACATCATTATGTCATTTCTCCCTAAGTTAATGTATAAATTCAATGAGGTTCCAATATCAACAACTACTATTATGGCATATAAAAATTGATAATAAAATTCATATGGAAAAACAAATATGCAAATGTAGCTGGGAAAACACTGAAAAAGGAAAACTGTGAGGGGAAACAGTATTACCAACATTGAAATATTAAAACCTCTATGATTAAAATAGTGAGTTACTGGTATGTGAATAAAGTAGACTAGTAGAAAAGAATAGGTAGATCAGAATTAGACCCACATCCATGAAGCAATTTAGTATGTCAGAGGTCATATCTGAAATCATTGACATAAAGGGTAACTTTTTAATAAATAGTGTTGAGGCAACTGGGTAACCATTTGGCAAAAAATAAAATTAGGCACATGTCATAACAAACAGAATAACAAATACCAAACAGATTGAGAAGCTAAATGTAAAAAATAAAACCATCTACTAGAAGGAAACATGGTTGAATCTCTTAATCTTGGTATAGGGAAAGACTTTCTTAATATTACTCAAAATCCAGACACAGTAAGGCAAGTCTGATGAGTTAGACTACAGAGAAATAAACCTTTTCATGACCAAAAGCATTGCAAAGAAAGCCAAAACACAACTGGCAAACTTGAAGAAAATATTTGCAACATTACTCTAAACAAAAGGCTAATATCTCAATATATAAAGAACTTTAAAAAATTGAGTGACAAAGGAACTGAGGGGAAATGAGAAAACAGGGAAAAGAAATGAATGGCATTTTTCAAAAAATAATTTAGAAATGGCCCTCAAACATAATTCACTCAGTTTTTTTTTTTAAAGAGAGAGTGAGAGAGGAGAGAGAGAGAGAGAGAGAATTTTTAATATTTATTTTTTAGTTCTCGGGGGACACAACATCTTTGTTGGTATGTGGTGCTGAGGATCGAACCCGGGTCGCACGCATGCCAGGCAAGCGTGCTACCGCTTGAGCCACATCCCCAGCCCCACTCAGTTTTAATTAAAGACATTCAAATTAAAACTTTAGGGAGATATAATTTCTCACTTATTAGTAAAATTTTAAAATATGGCAATATATTTTTTTGATGAGGCTGTGGGTATACAGATATTCTCACACATTGGTGGTGGGATCAAAAATTGTTAAACCTTTCTGGAGAATATTTGGCAGTGCCTAATGAAATTACCTATGCACTTTGCTTTCAAAGGAGCAGTCCTACTTCTAGGAATCTTCCCTGGAGATATACTTCCAATAATATGAAAATTACATATCCACAAGTTTATTAATTGCAGTAGTTTATAATTGCAAAACATTGTTAAAAATCTAAATGCTTATACATAGGAAGATGATTATGTAATGTAGTAACACAGTGGAATACTATGCAGCTGTAAAAAAGAATGAAAAAGATATGAGTCATTTCCAGGATATACTGTTACATGCAAAACACAGAGCCCCCAAAAGTATATGTACTTTTCTTCCCTAAAGGCCCAAAGAATTACAAGAGCTCATTATTGACAAAGTCAGAATTTTAACCCAGCTCTTTTGAGTCCAGATGTGCTGGAAATACTGTGGAAGAATTCAGTCTGGTTAATAAATTGGAGCTATGGAAGGAGATGTTTGAAGTTGGGTGGTGTTGTAATGTAATTGACTTCTTGCTATTGTTCCCCTCATTCATTTTTCATGCTGTCCTTTTTCTTACATATATTATCTTTGTAAGTGAGATCAGCATTATTTTATAGAATTCATTTGGGAATTGAGTAATCCTAGTTAGAGTATGTTTCTTTTTATCATATTCTAAAACCTTTCAAACATTTATTCTAATCCATTGATTCAGCTGGCTAGAAATCTTTTCTTTACTCTCCCCTTAAATTTAACATGTCATTCCATTGCAAATAAGACAGTAATATGCATTGATATTAGCAGTATTAAATCACAAATATTATCATATTACAGTATAATTTTTTTTAAATATCTGGGTTCTTTTTAAACTTTATTTTGTTTATTTATTTTTATGTAGTGCTGAGGATTGAACCCAGTGCCTCACATGTGTGAGGCAATAGCAGAATACAACAGTCACTAATATGGCAGTATGTAAAAATGTGGATGTGTAACCGATGTGATTCTGCAATCTGTATTTGGGGAAAAATGGGAGTTCATAACCCACTTGATTCTAATGTATGAAATATGATATGTCAAGAGCTTTGTAATGTTGTGAGCAACCATTAAAAAAATATTCATAAGAAGGCATACAAGACTAAAAATAAAATAAAATAAATAAAATTACAGTAGTAAATAATCTGCTGTATATTGTTATGCAGGAAGACTATTATAATAAATATTATTTAGATAGGACTTCTAATGCTTCATCAGACTATCAAAAGCATCTATAGATTTATAACTCCTTCTATTTATCTTGAAATGTGAAGCAACTCTCGACCTAAAAACTCTTAGACATTTTCCTAAAACCCTGCTCAAGTATTCCCTCATTAAAGCCTCTCCCAGCTTTCCCAGGGAGTTCTTTTTCTCTGTGCTCTTAGGAATGCTTACTTACATGTCTTACACCCTGTGGCCAGTGTTTGTTGTTGTCCATGTCTAGGTCAATGACTCCTTCAGTGTTGAGATTGTGACATGGTTTGTTTTTGTATTTTTAGTACCTGATATAGTGCTTGGCCCTTAGTAGATAATCTACTGAAGAGTGAGTGAATAATGACCATTTAATCTAGCTGATGGAGAATACAAGGATGAGCAAATTAATAGAAGAAAAGAGGAATCATAAATCAGCTTATAAATTGTGCTTTCTAAAAAATAACAAGTACTTTTTTGCCAACATCTTATGGTTTGTCAGTAATCAAGCAAGCATTTTCCTTCAGGGAAATTAAAATTTAGACATCAAAATTCATCAATCTGTGAATTCCAATCTAGATGGGATAAAGGGGAGGGAGGGGAAGGGAGGGGTCGGGGGTAGGAATGAGTCATGAATGGTGTGACTTTATGTACAACCAGAGATATGAAAAATTGTGCTTTATATGTGTTATATGAATTGTAATGCATTCTGTTAGCATATAGAATAAGTTAAAATTTAAAAAATTTATCAATCTGTATATTTCAAAATCATATGTTTTACTGTATATAAAGTATGCCTCAAAAATGAGAAAAAAATTGAGACAAGATAGTAATTTAAATATGACTGAAAAATTAAATAACCAGTCTTACAATTGAGCATTATTGCAATGTGGCACATGTTTAAATGCCAAATGAGAGTTAGAGAGAAAAAAATCTTGAATTCAGAGGAGGAAAAGTCCCTGTGAGCCTGACGTGGTTATTAAAATATGTGGTATTTAGATGGTGAAAGAGCATGAAAGCATTGAAGTCTAATAAAAGTGAGAGCATTACAGCTGCTCATCATCAGCTGCATAAACATGGGAAAAGGAAGGGCATGTTCAGGGAGAGAGCCAGTTAGGTGTTTTGTAGATTATTTCCAATGGGAAGTGCTAAGGGGCTTGGAGAGGAATGGCAGTGGTCAGGATAGATGGGAAAGACAAGTCATGCTCAAGGGATTGGGAAACCAATGAATATTATCACACTGGTGGAGGAGTCAAAAAATGATGGGAGTTTTAAGCTTGGCTAATTAATAGAAAAATGGTATTTTTAACCAAATAGAGAAGAAGGGGAAAAGAGCAGATTTTTTTTGATATGGTAAATAATTCTGTTTCCATTGCTAAAAAATATCAACTGTTGTTTTTGCTTTTAAGCTGATTTAAGAATATGTTTATGTACAAATGAAGTCAGGTTTTATGTCTAATCACACTTTATAACATAAAATTTAGTTCTAAGAAAATATTATGTATTATCAAGAAAACATGATGTTGCCATTCTTTGTCCATTGTTTGTATGCTTTTTTCCTTCCTTAGATTCCAATATAGTTAGTGATGTTGCACTTCAGGATTTACTGGCATATGTGTCTTCAAAACATTTCTATCTTGAAGATCTTCCACAGAGGCAGCCTCAGAAAGTGAACAGTATAGAGTTTGTAGAATTGGAGCAACTACAACCTGATAGATTAGTCCATGCAGTACTAAGAATTGTGGATATCACTATACTGACAGGTAAACATTTGGAGTGCCTCTTTGATTTTAGATTATAAAAAGATTAAGATACAAGACCATCTTAGTTTATCACCTGGTTATCACTATTTATTTGTCATGAGATATTATAATGTCACCTGTGCTAAAACTAAGCCCAATCCACATTTTCTTCTTTTCCTTTTCCAGAGTCATTATACACTTACAGAGGACAAAAGCAAAGGAAAGTTATGTTAACAGTGGAACAGGCCCAAGGTCAACACTATGTGCTTGTATTATGGGGTCTTGGAGCAGCCTGGTACCCTCAACTTCAAAGGAAAAAAGGTAAATACACCAAAAAAGCATTTAACCTATTTATATTTTGGTAAATGATTAATGCTTATGAGCCTAAGATGAAGAGAATCTGTAGACATTAGTTAACATTTGAAATATAAATGATGATTGAATAATATTCTGAAAATTTCTTATAATTTTGTACCTCTTAGCAATTAAGTAATTATTATCTATAATTATCTAATTATCTATCTAAATAGTTAATATCTATAATTAATGCTGGCAAAATAAAGGCTTATATTTATCTCCAGGTATACTACTTTACCTTTCTTAGTGAAGATCTTATCCCCTTCAGATAATGGTCTTGAAAAATTTAATTCTGAAGAAGCTTCTGCAGTTTTTTTTTTTTTTCTGCCAAAGTGCTCTGATGAATGAACTTCTCTTTGGTTAGAAGGCAGATGTTAGGGCAGTTATATTAACTCTTTCAAGTCACAGTTATTGTTCAATAAATTACCATATTTCAGGTTTTTATTCCAGTTCTTTTAAAACTGGAGTCATAATAGAATGATCATTTTAAAAAGATGACTTGATGTTACATTCTTCTAAAGCATAAATTGATAATTTATGGTGCATTGCACTAAATGGTATTGATGTATTAATAAAATAGTATAACTTCTTTTTGCTATTGGGAGATCTATTAGTTGTAGCAATTCTTTTGCTATTGTGAGATCCTTTAGTTGAGATAGTTTAATAATAGTTTATGAATTGTTTTGCCCTGCAAATTTAATAGAGATTGATTAAGCATACAAACCATTAGTTTTTACCCGAAGGAGTTAATGTCTCTTTCCAAACTTGAAGATAGGATCTGTCACATTGTGTCTTTTAATCATTAATAGCCTATAACTAGGATTTGAGATAAGTCTGACTTTTGACTTTTATGCTAGGATCAAACAGTGACAGATGTTTGTTCTGTTGAGAAATCTGACAAACATGTATTAGTATACTGAGTGTGATCATTGACCACCATGTCACAGCTTGGAACATGAGTCTAGTGCATGCTAAACAAAAATGTAGGTCAGGGTTATATTGGAGCTGTAGCAAAGCAGCTCATTGTGTGTAGCCATTTAATGTTAATAGTTATTTAGTAATAGAAGAGAAATTAAAGTTGTTTCTAGATTATCTATGGTATTTAGGTTAATATTGAAAATATGAATTGAAGAGTTAAGCTGTATTTGTTCTTTATTCATTTATTAATTCAGCTTATGATTGTTTATACCATTGTTTTAAAGTTTTAACATCCATTTTAATACCTCAAGACATTTCTTTTGTAATAGAAAATACCAGTTTTGAAGGACATTTAAGTAAGTGGTTCTACTTTCAGAAATTGTTAACATTCTATTTATTTATTTAATATTTCTTGAGATCTTCTCAGTATTTACCTCTGTATGAGGCACTGGTTTTACTTGGTCCTAAGGATAACAAACTGACATTTAGATGATATAATAAAAAATTATATAGTCATTATAGAAGATTACAGAGTTGATATTTTTAGAAAAAATAATAAGAAAATTCACAATCCTTTGCAATATGCATTGCTAGTAGAGATTGAACATGCTTCATCTGTAGCAAGCATTTGTTAAGGTCCTAATGAGGGTAAACTAGAGACATAAAGTACACTTCTTAAGAGGAAAATAAAATATCTATTCAGATATGTTTTTTCCATGCAATATTTTTCTGAAATTATTTAATAGAAGTCTAAATATTTCAAATATATAACAAATCATGAGGTACTCCCATGAAATAACTAAGCACAGAGCATATGCAGATAATCCCAACACGTAAGACTATATGTTCAAAAAAAGACTAGGGCTAGGGATGTGGCTCACTGGTAGAGTAATTGTCTAGCACATGCACAGGGACTTAGGTTCAATCCCCAGCATCACCAAAAAAACAAAACAACAACAACAAAAAAAACCCTTTATGTTATACTAAGTTATAGTTATGTCTGCATGGAGGTTTGAAATCCATTTACCTCCTTAGTTCACGATTCAAATATAGAAATATATCACAGTTTATCTCATACAAGTCTCCTTCAGATTTTGCTAACTTAACTGGCACACAGTTCCTTTCTGTTACTTAAGGGTGCCAACCATCTCCTGTTTCAGCGTCTTAAATGTATCTTAGATTTGTTTTCAGGTACACAACTAGATGCTTCTCCCTAGAGTGCTTTTCTTCCAACTGTGCCACATGCATGGCTCCTTCATATCTGTGCTCCAATTTTATATCCTCGGAGAGGCCTCACACAGGAATGTACATAATTGCTCTCTGGCAAATCACCCTTTGCATTCCATTCTAGCTTATTGTCTTCCTTATTGATTAATTTTCTTACTACAGTAGAAATTCTATGAATACAAGAACATTGACTAGCTTGTTCACCCACTGGGTATCTCCATCACATTGCACTGCTTACTCTAGTAGAATAAATTCTCTATGAATGAAGATTAAAATACAAGTCAGTCAGCCATTCAAATTTCTCACTGTCAAGAGTCAAATTTGAGGAGGAAATAAAGTTGCTGGTTTTTAAATAGTAAGGAAAAAAATCACAAGGCTAAAAATAAAAATGTACACATTTGAAGATTTTTGCAATCCTTGGGATGTGTCAAAAAGAATTATAGGTAGAGGTGATAGAGTTTATGTTAGCATGCACCAAATCCTGGGTTTAATTCCCAGGACTAAACAAACAAAAAACTAATTACTGAACTTGGGTTCTAATGGCTTGTATTAGAACTAGAATTCCATCCTGGCTAACCTAAACAATTTAAAGTATGTGGGGTGTCACTTAGTAGCCAATGGCAAGAGTGCTGGTGGATTCCAGGGGCACTTAGAACCAGGAACCTAAACCCTACAGCATTCCCCAGGAGCTTCTCTGTGTATCTGCTTTATCTGAAATTATTTAATAGAACTCAGAATTTCTCTGCTTTTCCATAATATAGAAAGCAGAGGATGGTTACTCCCTAGCTTCTGATTTTGCATGAGGCACTGAATTCCATCCCTGGCACCACATAAAAATAAAATAAAATAAAAAGGTATTGTGTGCATCTACAACTTAAAAAAAAAGTTACTCTTAAAAAAAAAAAGAAGGAACTAATCCTACCAGGCATGGTGGCAGTTGCCTGTGATCCTAGCAACTAAGGAGGCTGAAGCAGGAGCATCACAGTTTCAAAGCCAGCATCAGTGGTGAAGCACCTCTGGGTTCAATCCCCAGTATCAAAAAAAAAAAAAAAAAGAGAGAGAGAGAGAGAAGCAGGGTTGGGGAGGAAACACCAGTCCCATTTCCAAATTCCCAGCAAAGAGAATCTGATTGCCCAGATTAAATCTAATTCAATAAGCTGTGACCAGGAAGACAGAGTTACATAATATGTAATAGTCATAGGAGGGCTTAAACTTAATTTAGTGGCAGGAAATTGTTAAGGAAGTTGTTTATTGTCTGGGTGGACACATACAGTATTCACTATCCAAAATATATATATTTACCAGCTTAGAAAGATGTACATAATGTATTATTTAGTTTTTAAAAAGGACTTTATAAAACTTGGTGTATAAGAGGATCCCATTTTAATAAAAGTATATCTACAAGTATCTATGTACATTGAAAGATCTGAAAATATATATAACAAAATGCTATCTGTGGTTAATCTGTATAATAGTTTTATGTTTTATTTTCATTTTTTATTTATACCTTTAGTTTGACTTTTATCTGAATTTTTGTGTGCATCTGCATTGTTTTTTTAAACTTTTGTAAAAGCTTCAAGCATATAAAAAATTAGTGACAATAAGAAGTAGAGAAAAGGAACTTAAGTGTCCATTAGCCAGGTTATTAAAAATAGCCAATCCTATTTCACCTATTACCTCTCTTTTCTCTTGCTGTCTTAATGGTTTATAATAAATTTATTAATTTAAAAATCAACTTAAAACATTTTTCTTTTGAATAAAAGAATATTTGACATTTGGAACATTTAACAATTTGAGGAAAAAATAGAATTAAATTCTATTTCATGTCTGTGCCAAAATAATTCCAGATGCATTAGAAATTCAAACAAGAAACAAGAAATAGAAGAAAATAGAAGTGAATTTACTTGGAATGCAAAGATTGGTAAATTAAATAAAATGTAGCAACAAAACCTATTAAACATAAAAGCCACCATATGCAAAATTAAAAGATGTGACAAGCCAGAAAAATTTTCATTGTGTCAGAAGATAATGAAAATAATTCAATAAGAAAAATCTTTAAAGATAAATTGAAAAGGATATAAATAGGCAAAGCATAACAGAGGAAATGTAAATGGCTAATAAATATATGAAAAATTACTCTGCAAATAATTAAAGACAAATAAAATAATAATGATGGTTGATTTTTTTTTGTAAGAAATTGATAGGAAAAAATTTGGGAAAATAGCCCATAAACAGTTGGAAATGAGGATAGTTGTAGATGCCTTATAAAATAATTTGGGGTATCTGACTCATTAATTACACCTTGAGTAGGACATTAATTACAACTGAGCAGGACTATCTGTAAAGATGTAGCTGAAAATGTTTCTATCATGATATTGTTTTTAATAGTGAAAAATAAGAAGCAAAGAGTACCAAAATAGAAGATTGGTGTGTCTGCAATGGCATATTACACAATTTAATAATTTGAGTAATATTTAATGACATGTAAAGTATGTATTTGACACATTAAGCAAAAAAAAAAACTTAAAAATCCAAAACAACTGTCCACAAAAGCATTAACTCTGTTTGTTTTAGAGTATTAAGATTATGAAGCTGCTATTTATTTACTTAGCTTATCTGTGATTTCAAAGCATGTATTTTTAATTTTTTAATATTTATTTTTTAGTTTTCTGTGGACACAGCATCTTTATTTTATTTTTATGTGGTGCTGAGGATTGAACCCAGCGCCCTGCGCATGCCAGGCGAGTGCGCTACCACTTGAGCCATATCCCCAGCCCCAAAGCATGTATTTTTTAATAAGACAAGAAGGCTATTTTAAAAGTAGTAATTGGTTTTTTGTTTGTTTTGTTTTGTGTTGCTGGGGATGCAACTTAGAGCATGCTAGGCAAGTGGTGTACCACTGAGCTACATACCCAGCCTATAGCATCAGCTAGAAGTGATTGGTTTTAAGCAGTAACTTGTAATATTTACGCCTTAATTCTGTGTAATGAGTCTGTACAGATTTATTGACTCGTTTAATTACACACACACACACACACACACACACACACACACACACACACACACACAGTCTAATGAATAAACCTAAGGAGCTAAGTGGGTAGGAGTGAATTAGATTTATGGCCTAAAGTGGGAAACTAAACAGGCAGCTGTTATTATCTGAAAAGTTAGTGTTGAGAAATCTCCTTTTTTATTAGCATTTTAAAGTTGAATTTACTAATATATAATGATTACTTGGCAAGAAGATCTTTGCTACTGTGTTTAAAAGTTAGCATTATTACTGAGATAATTAAATAGGTGCTACTATATCTAAATGCTTTTTTGTTATTATCATTCTGGAAAAGTCAGCTAAATATGATAACAAAGGTATTGAAATATCAGTGAAACATTGCTTATGGTAGACCTGTGTCCATTTCAATTTCCTTAAAAAATACCTCCTAAAAATATTTGCCTGTAGCTATCAAAATGAGAATTTGCTATTCTATAAAACAGTTTGTTGTGATAAATTATGACTTTAGGTGATCAAGAAATTTTTAGAAAATTCTTTACTGGAATTATCTCTAAGTTAGGCATTCCTGTAATCCCAGTGACTTGGGAGGCTGAGGCAGGAGAATGGCAAGTTCAAAGATAGACTCAGCAACTTAGTGAGACCTTCTCTCAAATTAAAAAAAAGTTTAAAACGGGCTGAGGATGTGGCCCAGTGGTTAAGGGCCTCTGGGTTTAATACCCATTACCAAAAACAAAACCAAACAAAATTATCTCTAACATTCTTATATTATTGCTTTTAAACAACATTTATATTTTGTCTCTTTATGCCCAAATTCTTAAGTCATAAAAGTTATATTTAAGTGATTCAATTAAGCTAACCTGTTTAATCTGATACTGAACCTAGACTTTTTCCCTTTGGATAAACTTTTGTTTTTATTTGTTTTTGTTTAAGATTATATTTGGGAATTTAAATATCTTTTGGTTCAGCACAACTGCACACTGGAAACCCTAGAGTTGCATACAACGCCTTGGTCATCCTGTGAATGTCTGTTTGATGATGATATAAGGGCAGTTACATTTAAAACAAAATTTCAAAATAGTGTACCTACTTTTGTCAAGATGTCAGATTTAGCGGCACACTTAAAGGATAAGTATTCAGGTAAGATCTTTATACACATAAAATGTTGCTAGAGATAATATAAGCAAAGAAACTACCATTTGTGAGAAAATGTATAATTGAATATAAAAGTAAAAGTCCTTGCAAATAACTGAAGCCCATATTGACAACTTCTTAGCTTTCTGTCTCTATTCCTTTGATGTTAATTTTTAATTAGGGATCACTGTAAAATATTTTTCATGCATAGTTACCAGCAGCTCATCATTTGATAAACTAGATATAGAAAAATGACCTTCACCAGAGGCACTGTTGAGATAAACATCTTATGAAGTCACTCAGCTGTCATCTAGACATGATTGTTAAGATTTAAAATTGATAAAGGATCTTTGAAATTTATATATTGCTTTGTAAAATTCAATACTTCCTGTTGTGGTTTTGGATGTTTTTGTCCCCCGAAGGTTCATGTATTAGAGACTTGGTTCCCACTGTAGAAAGTGATAGACTTTTAAGAGGTGGAACCCACTGGGAAATCTTTGAGTTAATAGAGGTTTGCTCTCAAAAGGGATTATGGGACCTCAGTTGCTGGCTCCCTATTCAGCAGTGTGATCTCTCATATGCATTCCTGCTAGTCATCATGAGGTTCTCATCAGAGCCACACCAATGCCAGTGATATGCTCTTGAATCTTCAAAACTGTGTGCTAAATAAACATTTTTAAAATATAGCTTGCCTCAGGTATTTCATTATAATGAAATGCAGTCTGCTACCCTTCTAGTACTCAAATATGTGTGTGTCTAAAATTCATCCTCAGAAGCATACCACATAGATGAATTCCTTTGATTATGAATTATATACACATATTCATATTTCCTTTTAACTAAATATAATTAAAGTGATTTGTTTCGAGTGCAGAAGGAAAGGAATACATTTTAAATCCAAAAGGCCAAGGATTTTGGAATGAAGAGAGAGTACAGTACAGTAGTGATAATAAATATTTGTAATTTCAGTGGGAAATAGGTTTCACTAGATTGCATTGGCTTCCCACTAACAAAGGTAATGAATGATGCTAACTTCTAATTGAAGGATAGCAAATAGCATTTGAGCTATATTTAGGGTTGCTAAATTCCAGTAATTAATAAAAGACAACTTTGGAAAGTAATGGAAAGCTTTCCATTGACTCTTGATAGTAAATGCATTTTGGAGAAGAAATAAGGATTGAAGATAATGGAATGTTTATAAGGTTTATTTTGTTCCATAGTTCAAGTGTTTTAATGAAATAGAAAGAAGTTGGTCAAAAAATTTCTAAGAATTTTTATAAGATTACTATTTTTGATGCTTTTATAGATTAAATTATTAAGAATAACTGAGGAACTTTGATACAGAATTTTGTCTTCATTTTTTCATTTGCATGAATAATTTTCCGAATTCATATATGATTTTAGATTTTACAAAATGCTACATGTAGCTTAAGTGAAACAATATGATTACTTTTGTAATTATTTTGATAAAAAGAGTCTGATCCAAAATGAAATAAATTACTACAATTCTGAAAGAGACCACTTGCTAAGAATCTCAAGTATTTTTTTGGAGCTTTTAAGCTGACATGGTATGCCTCCTTTTTGGTACTTTCACAGTAATTTGAAAGTTGTATCTCATTTTAGAGTTAGTGTCTTTCAAGTGTGGTTCAAAAACTAAGTGTTAGATTAAAAAACAAAACCTTAACAGAGTTTTTGGGTGTAGTTTTCATATAGTAATCTTAACCTATTATGTGGATTTTTACATGAAACCATTACCACAGTTAAAATAGTGTTCCTTTTGCTTTTTTGTAGTCTCTTCCTTCCACTCATGCTACTGTTGACCTTTCTATTATTTTTAAAAATAAATGGAATATTATAGTATATACATTGTTTTATCTGTCGTCATTAAGGAGGCAAATTCTTTTGAGATGCATCTATATTGTTATGTTTATCCGTTCATATCTTTTCATATGTTGATACACATTGGGGTTCTTTCCAGATCTTGATTATTACAAATAAAGCTTTTATAAATTTTCATGTGTATGACTTTATGTGGACATAGTCTTTCTTTTCTTTTGAGTGAAATACCTATAAAATAGCTGACTTATGTGGTATATTTAACATTCTAAGAAACTGCCAAACTGTTTTCCACAGTGGTTGTACCATTTTATATTTTATATTCTCACCAGCAGTATATGAAATTTGCAATTTCTGTACATTCTGGTCAACATTAGATAGGGACCTTCTTTTTAATTTTTGTTGTTCTAATAAATATGTAGTAAGAATTCATTACTGTTTTAATTTACATTTCCCTACTGGCTAATAATATTGAGCATCTTTTTCATGTACTTAGTTATTATCCATGTGCCTTTTACTGGTGGAATATCAATTGAAATCTTTTGCCCATTTTTAAAAAATCAGGTCGATTGTTTTATTATTGAATTTGAGAGTTCCTTATATATTCTAGGTATAAATCCATTATCAGTTATATGCTTGGCAAATATATTCTCCCAATTTGTTGGCCATCTTTTTATTCTTTCACCTGGATCTTTTGAAGAGTACAAGTTTAAAAATTTAATGAATGCAGATTAACCATTTATTTTTATATGAATAGGGTTTTTGGTTTTGTGTTTTAGAAATATTTGCCTAACCCAGGGTCAAGAGATTTTCTTGTGTTTTCTTCAAGAGTTTTAGGTTTTTTTATTTAGATCTATGATTTATTTTGAGTTATATTTTTATTTAAATCTGTGGTTTATTTTGAGTTAATCATATTTGTGTGTAGTATGAGGTATGGCTTGAATCTCTGTCTCTCTTTTCAGTTCTCTTTGTTGTATGAAATATCCATTCATGTAAACACCATTTGTTGAAAAAAATCATTATTTCCTCAGGGAATTGGCTTTGCACCTTTGTAAAATATCTGTTGTCCATATCTATGTAGTCTATTTTTTGACTTTCTTTTCTGTTATATTAATCTATTTGCCTATCTTATACCAATACCAACCTGTTTTGATTATTATAGTTTTACAAGTCCTAAAATTTGGCACTGTTAGCCTTCCAACTTTATTCTTTTTCAAAGTTTTTTTTGGGGGCTATTCTAGAACACTTGCATTTTCATTTGGATTTTAGAAACAGTTTGTCAATTTCTACAAAAAAAAAAAAAGCCTGTTGGAATTTTGATTGGGACTGTGTTGAAGCTATAGATAAATTTCTAGGAGAACTGACACCTGAATACTTAGTTTCTAATTCATGATCAGGGTCTGTCTCTTCACTTGTTTAAGTCTTTCTTGCAGGCATGTTTTGTGTTTCGAGTATAAGACTTTCACATTTTGTCAGACATGTTTATTTTTCTACCTTTGTGCTATTGTAAATGATATTTTTTTAAAAAATATGATTGCAGTGGTTGCTAATATTTGGAAATTCAATTGATTTTTATATATTGATCTTGTAATCTTGCTAAATTTATCAAGCTCAATAGTTACTCTTGTGTAGATTTGGATTTTCTACAGAGACAATCATATTGTCTGTGAGTAAAGACATTTTACTACATCCTTTCTGGTTTTTATTTATTTTTCTTACCTCACTGTACTTGTTAGTTCCTTCAGTATAATATTGAAAAGACTTTGTGAGAGTTGATGTTTTTATTCATAATCTTCATTTTTAGTATGATGTTGACTATAGGTTTTTTATAGATTCCTTTTATCAGATTGATTGATGTTATCATATATCATTACTAAAAATTTTAATCAGAAATGGCTGTTATATTTTGACAAATGCTTTTTCTCCATTTTTGAGATGATCATATAGTTTTTCTTTTTAATCTGTAATTAATTACATTGATTGATTTTTTTAATGTTAGACAACTTTGCATTTATAGGAAACCCAACTTGGTCACGAATATATATCTTGAGTTTCTGAGGCTGTTCTTGAACTTGTGATCCTCCTGCCTCAGCCTCTCAAGTCACTGGGATTACAAGCCTATGCCACTGTGCTTGGCTTTAGGTTTTTCTTTACTGAGAGATTTTCACTGCAAATTCAATTTCCTTAATAAATATAGAGGTATTTAGGTTATCTACTTCTTCTTGAGAGAGTTTTGGTAGTTTGTAATTTTCAAGAAATTTGTTCATTTCATCTAAGTTGTTTGTATAGCGACAAAAAATTTATTGACATAAAAATTATTTTATTCTCTTTGTGTGTGTGTGTGTGTATGTGTGATATATATATATATATATACTGGGGATTGAACTCAGGCCTTGCACATACTAAGAAAGCACTCTACCACTGAGCAACACCCCCTTATTATGGAGAAGAGGGGAGAGTATGCTTAGATAAATTCATAGAATTTATTAATATACTGAAAGGAAAAAATAGGAAAAAATGTCTGGCAGACAGTAGATATTCAGTATTTGTTCAACAGGTGAATGATGAGCCATTAAGTAGTCATTGAGCATGTTTTAGGTTTACATTGAGTCACATGAGAAACCATTAGTAAATGAGGACTGTCAGTGCTCACGTGGCTATATAACCCAGGATGGATGGATGGGCAAGAAATTGGTAGGGGGAGGGGGAATAAAAAACAGGTGGACTATTGGTTTATTACTTTTGGATAGAGGAGAGAGTAGAATAACTAACCCACATCCTGCTTGACTTTTGACTGAAATAAATTAAAAAGATTGTTGACACGACAGTGAAAGAGGGCATATTAGTTAGCTTCAAGTATTTGAAGGACTTTCTCCTAAAAGAAGGATTAAATTTATTTTGCATGATTCGAGAGGGTGGGGAGGAAGAAAATATCCACAACATGTTTAGTCATATTAGCCAAATAAATCTTTACTCACTTGCATGTAGAGATCCATTTAGATTCTAGAGTCAGTACTGAAGCTGTGAGACTCTAGGAAGAGTGAAGACAAAAAAAAAAAAATCAAAAACAAGAGCTTAATGTAATCTTTACTCTAAGTGACTAAATCAACCATATCATAAGCCATATTGATAATTAAAATTATAATTTGGGTCAGTAATTTATAATATTTTTGTTTGTCTTTTATAGGAGTAGTTCTAATTAAAGCTCAAATTTTAGAGCTAGTATTTCCTGTTGCAGCAGCTCAGAAGATAACTCTAAATGCTCACTGTTCCCTGAAGAGTATCTTCTCCTCTCTCCCCCACATTATATATACTGGCTGTGCAAAATGTGGATTGGAACTAGAAACAGATGAAAACAAAATCTACAGACAGTGTCTTAGCTGCTTGCCATTTGCTAAGAAGAAAACACATTATAGGTAAGACAACTAAGCAAGCCAATGTAAAGGAAATTTTAGGACTGGAAGTGACTGAAAAATTACATGTATCATTACTTTCTAACAAAAATTAACTAGAGCTAATTGAAGAGAATAAAATACTCTCCTTGAGTGACAAATAGCTATTTATAAAAGCAAATATTGTCCAGAAATTATAACAGGATTTTTTTTTTTTTGGCATTTCTTGGGATTGAACCCAGGGTGCTCTACCAAGCAGCACCCCCAGCCCTTTATTTTTCAATTTGAGACAGGCTTCCACTAAGTTGCTAAGACCGCTCTCAAACTTGTGATGCACCACCACGCCCAACACCGTTTTTTCAAACAAATGTTCAAAGCCCACTCAATCACTAAAGTTTGCCAATTCTATTTTCCAAACACTCTTAAATCTGCCTACTTCTTTCCATTTCCACCACTGACACTGCAGTCAAGTCATCTCTACCCTAGGTTTGATCCCTGGTACCACCAAAACAAAACAAAAACACAAACAAACATAACTTATTTTCTTTTTTCTTACTAAATTTATAAGTTCCTTAAAGAAGGCATCAGATTTGTCTTGCTATTAGTGTATAGCCAATGTTTAGCATAGTCATGGTACATAATGAATACTCAGCTTGTCTTTGTTGACATAAAGAATGGAGGGAGAATGGAAGTGCTACAAACATTGATGTGGCTGGGTCACTGTAGTATGCTGATTTATAGCAGCTCAACTCATAATAGCTAAACTATGGAAGCAACCTAGGTGCCCTTCAACAGATGAGTGGATAAAGAAAATGTGATGATATTACTCAGCCTTAAAAAAGAATGAAATGATGGCATTTGCCAGTAAATGGATGGAGCTAGAGAATATAATGCTAAGCCAAATAAGCCAATTCCAAAAAACCAAAGGCCTCATGTTTTCTCTGATATGCAGATGCTAATTCACAATAAGCTGGGGGAGGCTAGGGAAGAGTAGAGTTACTTTAGGTGGAGGAGAGTGAAGGGAGGGGAAGGGAATATGGGAGTAGGAAAGACAGTAGAATGAATCAGATATTATTACTCTGTGTACATATATAACTGTACAATGGTGGGATTCTACATCATGTACAGCCAGAAGAATCAGAAATTATACTCCATTTATGTTTGATGTACCAAAGTGCATTCTACTTTCATATATCTAATTAGAACGAATTTTTAAAAAGTTTTTAAAAAAAGGAATGGAGGGAGAGAGTGAGCCTAGAGAAAGAGTGTAAAGTGAGAAGAGGATGGGACCTAGAATCACCATATGGGTAAAGTGGGAAAATCCTTAGTCACATTTTGTCTCTGTTATACTAAATTTCCCTCTACTAATGATCTCTTTTAACTTCTATTTTCTATTTTTTTTTGTAGGCCAGCTTTAATGACTGTAGCTGATGGAACACATAACATTTGCATCCATGTAGGATCAGAGTTAATAGAGAAGATTCTTCTCAACATTTCTCCAGACTGCCTCAACAGAATTGTAGGTAATGTGTCAACACTCCATCAAGGAGATTTTCTTCATGGAACCATTCAATCAGTAGTATAGGTAGTATATTGGAACAGAAGGAATGCTATGTTGTAAATTAACTTTTTTTTTCATCAGCATAAAAGCAGAAGGATAATTTACCTTGAGTAAAACATAAGTCTATGTAAGTTAAAAGGTGAGATTTGCTCTATACCTATCTGGGTACATGAATACGGGGAAGTACCTAACCTCTCTTTAAATTCCCCATTGGTCAGCAAAAGCTCCAGGGCCCAAGTTTTATAATAAATAAATGAATGTGTAATTCCATGTATTTGAAGGTAGTCTACTCTCAGTAGAATGAATTTGCAAGCTCTTCAGCTAGAATGTCAGGGACAGTCAGTGGCTAAGGACAAAGCAAAGATACTGCACCTATCAGATAATCAAACTCCTTACCTGTTCTCATTAGCCTCAGATTCTTTAAGCAGATGAACTAATTTGGCTCTTTTTATTGCTTTGTCTCTTAATGGTGTATTGTTTTTCTTGCTTGTTGTGTGTGTAATAGTTTTTGTTTGAATGCTGAACATTGCATTTAGCATGCTTCTTCTTTTAGATCTTTACTGGGTGGGCAGGGGTATGGTTGACTTCAGGCATGGGCCTCAGATTCATGAGTATTTTGTTGTGAGAATGGTGAGCAGCACTTCCATCTACTCCTGCTCTGCTGCAAGCTTTAGTCCTTCACTTTGTACCTGGACTTTACAGAGCTTCTTTCCATACTTATACATATTTATGGAGTCCAGTGTGATATTTTGATATGTGTGTACAAGTATAATGATCAAATCAGGATAATTAACATTTCCATAACTTCCAACTTTTATTGTTTCTTTGTGTTGAAAATATTCAAAATCCTCTATTTAGCTACAGTTGTATTTGAGATATATTCTGAGAAATATGTTATTTGTAAGTGTCATAGAGTATGCTTATGCAAACCTGGAGAGTACAGGTCAGTCATTCCACATTGCTGCTTGATGCAATCAGGAGACCTGGTATGAGATATATGAGGCTGCTGCCAGTGTAACACAGCATACTCTTTTATAGTAAATGATTTTAAAAAAAAAGGTAAGAGTACAGTTAAAATAACAATTTAAAAAATATTCTGTAGTAAACCAATAACATAGTTGTTTATTATCATCAAATATTAGGTAGTATAAAAAATTATATGTGTTATACTTTTATACAACTGGCAGCACAGTAGTTGAACACTGTCATCACTACAAAAACGTGATAATGCTTTACCCAATAACATTAGGAAGGCTGCATCACTGGGTGATAGGAATTTGTCAGGTTCATTGCAATCTATGGGACCAACATCATGTGTGCAGTGTTTCAGTGATTTCATGTGGTGCATGACTGTATTTTGAATCTCTCTATGTTCTTACATGTCCTCAAGCTGACCTGGCTTCTGTTGGTTGTTATTTGGTGCATCCTAGGTTGGTCGGGGAAGGGGACCAGGATGATTCTCTATATGATTCTGTTCCAGTCTTATAGGGTTTTGGGTGTGACACTTCCTCTGTGGCCTTGCCCGTTTTGCCATGGCAAATAAGCTCCACTGTGACTTTGGTGTTCTTGCTTGTGTGCCTCTGTCCCTTCCCTAGCAGCAGTGTATTGTGCATCTTGATCTAGAGAGGTTTTCTGTCTCTTCTCCAGGGTTAGAAGGATTTTTTTTCTCTTATTTTTCTCTCATCTATACTGGGTCCTCTTCTGGGGCAACAGAATTTATATTTTTCCTCCAGCAGTTAAGGCTTTTGTTTCTTTTATGGGGAAGCCCAGGCAGCATTTTGTACTTTTCTCCCCTCCTTCAGGACTTCCCAAAAGTTGGAAGCCTTTTCTGATGTCTTGTGCTGCCCCAGGCTATGAGCACCTGATAGAGGTGAAAACAGCCACATCGAAAGGCCAGCACAGATGCAAATTCCCTTATGTCTGTGGTATTGGCCTGTATTTGACTTTTAGCAATTCATTAAAAATTTGAATATATTCTTCTTTTCCTGTTTGTTTGGTGGGCCTGACTTCTTCCCAAGCCCTGTTGTGATTGGACCTGGCTCCTGTTCCATCCCTCCTTGGAGGTATCTGTCCTACCCACACTTCTTGGCTGCTGTGAAACCTTGTTTTTCTGTGGTTCCAAGAAAAATGATGATTTTGTCAGTTAGCTTTTTCTAATAACTTGGGGTGGGAGCCATATCTCTCCAGCTTTCTACATCCTAATTTGAAGAATCTTCATTTGTTTGCTTTTGTAATTTGTTTTTCTTTATGTGCATTCTTTTGGCTATCTTCATTCCTTTTCTCAGTGTTCTTTTATATTTTCAATATTATCTCTTTCATCTTTTAAGATAATAATATTATTATTTTTATATTGTCAATCTTATCTCTTATTATTATTATCTGTGATGCTGGGAATTGAACCCAGGGCCTCATGCATGCTAGGCAAGCACTCTACCATCAAGCCACATCCCAAGGTCTTATCTCTTCCATTTTATACACAGTGTAGTCTTTATTTCTCAGAGAAGCATCATTCTTATATCAGATATGCTTTGTGCTTATCCATTTTTGAGATAGTTATATTTCTTGGCATATGTTAGATTATCATTAGTTACAAAGAGGTTATCAGACCATCCATATAATCACTAGTGCAGATTTTTTTTTTTTGTTTATCAAAGCGAAAATACAATAATTTTAAATTCCCATACTTCTGGAAATATGTTATTTTAAATTACCATACTTCTGGAAATACAAAAATTTCAAATTACTTTATTTCTGGAAATATGACCTCCAGGACAATAATAGCCCAATCCAAGAAAGACTGTTGGTATTGGTCAAGGAACTAGTGCAATTTCAACACACACATACACACACACAAATATTCCTAAATCCCCCCAAAATCTAAAATCCAGAACACTTCTTCAACCAGTATATGTGTAGGTAATTGTGATTAAAAACAATAGATCAGATAAATATGAGAGTCTTTTTTTTAATACAGATACTCTCTTTTTGTTTTATTCATAACTTAGGGAAACATTAGTCTCAGTTCTTTGCTACATTAAGAAGCTGATAGCTGTGTGGCAATAGGAGCTGCTGTCAGTCTGAATAACTCATCTTCTGAGCTTGCTTTTCCTGTTAATGAGAATCACAGGCTATTGTACTAGACTGCTTTCAGTAACTTGAAACTAGAAAGAGAGGTATAAAATGAGAAATTTAACATGGGTATGAGACTTGAGGAACCAAATTAAACAATGAAACACTCAATGTGTGTGTCTAGTAATCTGGAAGGGATATTGAACGCTTCCTGTATGTCTTTGTTCTTCCTTAGTACCTTCTTCAGAGATCACCTATGGAATGGTTGCAGCAGACCTGCTTCTCTCCTTGTTGATGGATAGCACAGAGCCTTGTGTATTGAAGATTCAGAGCCTTTTTGTCTTAGATGAAAATAGTTACCCATTGCAACAGGATTTCTCCCTACTGGATTTCTGTCCTGGTCAATGTAAGGCATGGAGCCCTTCTCTGAGGCCACATGAGGAAGTTGTAGACATTCCAAAGAAGAAGTACTGAAATGATTTGTGTTTTAAATGAATGATAGGGGTTTTGCTTTGGGCTTGTTTTATATATATATATATAAAATAAAGAAAATTGTGCTAAACATATGAATTAAAATTATTTTTTTCTAAGAAAATTCTGTGAAGTTTTATTATTTATTTTGTTTTTATTTGTTAGTCTCTTCCTTTCTTCTGGTGAAATTATCTAGCAATAAAGGCAATACACAGTTCCCTAGGAATTAAATGTTACCTTTTAGTCCCTTCTGTGTTCAAGGCTCTATGCTAAATACTGGGCATCCACACATATAACATTTCCTCAGAAATTGCTTTTCTGCTTTACTCACAAACTCTATATACTTTGTCTTATTTCTACCTCAATAAACTATCAACATGAAAAATTTCCTTGATTATAAAGAACTATACATGATAATGCATTAATTTACATAAGCCTTTGTTCAGACAAGTTTAAGACAAGCATGTCTTTCTATAGAAAGCACTGAAAATGTGGGAAACAAGATCATGTTTCAACTCAAAGTGGAGAAGAGTCCTGCTGTTGCTTCATATCTAGAATGATGCCTTATTTAATTTAAAAACATTTAGCAACTTGTTCTCTCATGATAGTAGAAGAAGCTCTTATAAAATGATAGTCACTAATTTAGAATTATGGAGTGTCATTTAACCTATAAGTCTAGAACATGTTGAGTGTTAATAGATAAATAATATATATTAATAACAGTGCCTGAAAATAACTATGTTCATGCTGAAACAAACAAGCTTATTTTAGTGTACGTTTGTTTTTTAAAAAAACTCTTTTGATTCATTTAAATTGTTTTCTCTAATTCAGGATTTTTAAACTTGACTTCCCTAAGAATGAATTTCAGGAATTTTGTGATTCTTTGAAACATAATATGCAGTAAGGTATTTTGCATATTGTATATACACGTGGGAGTACGTACACACACAAATACTTCATTCTTCTGAGGTGAAGGGTCTAAAGCTTTCAACAATTCCTTAAAGGGATCTGTGTCAGAAAAGAAGAGCAAGAGCAAAGCCTTAACTGATGACTTTCTTCCTGGGGAAGATAAGAGAATTAGAGCAAATTATTGCCAAGTTCTTGTTCAGTAGCTTATAAGGTGGATAGAGAAAGAATTGTCCTCATTTTGTATCTATACAGACTGAATTCAAACAAAATAGTTGGCTCCCTAGATAAATCATCTACTGTGTGATGAAATGCAAGCCTGGAGTTGATGTCTTCCAACCTGTGTTCTTTTCTCCACACTAGGAGCAAATTCAGAATTCTCCTATCCAAGTAATAACTAGGCCTGACCCTGCTTAGCTTCTGAGATCAGACAGGAGATCAGGCGCATTCAGGGTGTTATGGCCATCGATTCAAATTCAGAATTCTGATGTAAAGTTTACTAAAATGGTATGATTACTATGGGGGGGGGGAATTGGGGCCTATTTTCACTTTATTTTTGATTAACATGCATTAATTATACATGTTAATGGGGTTCAGCATTATATTTCAACTGAACAAATAAATATATTGAGTACAATATACAGCATGTATTGACTAAACTCAGTTCCCATTATTATTATTATTATTTTACAGTGCTGGAGATCAAACCCAGGGCTTCACATATGCTAGGCAAGTGCTCTACCACTGAACTACATTCCCAGCCCCTTTTATATTATTTTTATCTGATCAAATCATTTGAAAAATTTCCCTAACTTCTTAAGAGTAAAAATTCCATAAAGTCTGGTGACTTAGTTCATCGGTAGAGTGCTTTTCTCACATGTGAAGTCCTGGCTTCAATCACCAGCATCACAAAAACAACAACAAAAAAATCTTTTGATATATTAAACACTTCCCAAATATAGAAAAATATGGTATGGTTTTGAAAACAGAGACTAACACTGACACTTTGTGGGGTGGCAGCCAAGCATACACTGATACCCCTTCTTTGAACCATGTCTCTACTATTTGGTTTGATCATTTGGCAAAAACTGATTACTGAAGGAAAGCAAGACACCTGACTCCAGATGGGCCAATCAGATTCCTTATAATTAAAAAGAAATTGAGTTAAAATTTATGCACAGTAAAATGTACAAGTTTCAAATGTACATCTTGTTGAGTTTTGCCCAATATATACATTTGTTATCAACAGATGCTCCAATCAAGATCTGGGACATTTCCATCACTGTAGAGATTCCCTTATCTCTTCCCATTACTCCCCAGTCATGACAGGCAACCATGGCCCTGATTTCTATCATCATAGGTTCATTTGATCTGTTCTTGAACTTCATACAAAGGAAACCATACCATATATAGCCCTTTGTGAATGGCTTTTTTTCATCCATATTTTCATGGATGAAAATTCAGCAATATTTTCTTTTCTCTGAGAAATATACCTATATATGACAATATTATCCATTCTCCTGTTGAAGGCCATATGTGTTGTTTCTAGTTTGGGGCTATTATGAATAAAGCTGTTAAAAATACTTTTTAAACAAGTCTTGTTCTGGAAATATGCTTTAATGGTGGGGAGGGAATACTTAGGATTGAGATTTCTAGGTTTATAAAATAGGTATATATTTAACTTCATAAGACAGTGCAAACAGTTCTTCAACGTTGTGTGATTTTACACTTTTGCCAGGGTGCCAGTTGCTCTACATCCTTGCCAACATTTGGAGTTCAGTCATGTTCTTTGTATCCATTCCAGTGGGTACAAAGTGATGTCTCGTGGTTTGGGTTTGCATTTCCCTGATGAGTAATGTTGAGCAACTTCACTATCTGCTTGTCTTCACCAATGAAGTTTCTGCTCAAGTCATTTATACATTTATTTTATTAAGCTGTTTGTCTATTCACTGAGTATATATAAATTCTAGGTAAAAGTCCATTATAAGTATTATTTATATTTTCAAAAATCTGTCCATCACCAGAAATGCTGGCCATGATTTGAGAAGAAAAAAGAATATGCAACAAAAGTCATAAGCTACAATATCACTATTTTTAATATTTAAAATCTATACCCAGAAAAATAATGTTGGAAAACCAACAAAAAAATACTAATAATATACTACTCTTTAAACTTATATTACACATAATATAAATTTACAAAGTTCTGCTATATTACTATGTTCCAGTAATATACAGTTCTAAACATAAAATAATAATGCTCACAGATAAAATAGAAACTCTAAAAACTATATATATTCAAAGGAAATGATTGAAAAGCCACAAGGGGAATAAAAGGAGATAGAAATTAATAGAACACTCTATCATGTCCTTGCTGTTTGGAAAGATTTAATAAACAAAGTTGATTGAATAATAACCAAAGTCCCTGAAGGATAGCATATAGAAACTAATTTTAAAAATTGAGAATATAAATAAATGAATAAAAAGCATTGAGAACAAATGGGAATATGATATTTTAAAATTATTGACTCATACTTTAAATGGGTGAATTGCATATTTGAATTACATATCAATAAAGCTGTTAAAGAATAATCAGGAAAAAATTTTTAAGTCAAAAGAAAAAATAAGGTAAAAAAAACAGTGGAAAAAACATGGTTTTGGTGTTTACAGCATATTGAGTGAAAATTATTGTTAGGAAATATTATGAAAAAATTTCTGTTCTTTTTCATTTTTGTTTTCCAGTGCTGGAGACTGAACGCAAGGCCTCATGCATGCTAGGCACATTCTCTACCACTGAGCCACATCCCCAGCTCCAGATATTTCATTTTTGTCAGATATTTTCATTTTCTATTAAAAGAAAAACTTTGGACAAATGAAATTTAACAGAGTTTAAATGAGCAAAGAAAGATTCATAAACTGGGCTGGTTCCTCTGGTTCCTCTAGTTCCTCAGAACCAGAGCGGATTTAGGGAGAATCTCCTTTGCAATGTCATCTGAAAGGTTTTATGGACAAAAAAATCGAAAAAATGACACAGAGAAATGAGTGAGGTATAGAGAAAGCTGAGTTGGGTCCAGGTTTTTATTTGAACATGATTTGTACAGTTGGCCACCTGTGAGTGACTATAACTGGGTGCTGTGATTGGCTAGAACCCAGCAATGTGCTACTAAGACAACTTGCTAAAATAGGTTTAAGTTTTTTTAAACAGCAATGTTTACTCTACGAAGCTAACAATTACAGTAAACATTTTTTTTAACAATGAAATGTGGGAGGATTTTGAAGAATAGAAATAAGACAGCTCTATCATCCTTCTGTCAGCACTTATATCGAGTAGTTGTATGGTATTCCTAGCCAGAGGAATCAAGCAAAAAATTGAAATAAAAACCATAAGGATTAGATGTAAGATATATAATCATACTGTGTTTATTGAAAACTTAGATTAATCTAGAGATAAATTATTAGAATTAGTGAGTTTAGCATGGTTGCTGAGATCAAAAATCTTAATTTCTGCATACCAGCAAAAATAAAAAGATAAACATTTTAACAATATTATCTACAATAACATAAAAAATCAAATGTCTATGAAAACTTGATGAACTATGTACATGACCTCTATATATCATATTACAAACATTATTTAGAGAAGAGTTTAAAAAATGGAAGAATATATCATGTTGACCAATTAGAGGGCATGGAAGTGTTGATTATTCCTTGAATTTGACTTATGAGCTCAATAATGCCAATCAAAATCACAATACACTTTTTTGTGGGGCATTAGAAAACTGATTCTAAAATTTATATGAATATGCAGTGTCCAAATAACTAAGATATTCTTCTTCTTTTTTTTTTTTTAATCTGGGGATCCAACCCAGAGCCTCATAATGCTCAGCAACTGAGCCACAGAGCCAGCCCAAGACACTCTTGAAGAACAGACCCAGGACTTATTCAACAAAATATTGACTTCTTAAAATTAAGAAATGGTGGTATTAATATAAAGATTGTCAAATTGACCAAAGTAAAGAAGGACCTCAGAAACAGACCCAAACATATACAGACACTTAATTTATCCCTGAAGTGGTACAATGAACCAATGGGAAAAGGATAGTTTTTACAATAAATGGTGCTGGGATGATTGGATATCCTTATGGAAAAAAAAAAAAGAAAGAAAGAGGGGCTGGGGATGTGGCTCAAGTGGTATCGCCCTTGCCTAGCATGCATGTG